TCTAGATACGCCACTGACTTACATGGCCAGATGAATGAAAATACTCAATCGACGTAGCACCAAATCGTAACCAGCCTTCACCATGCCCTCACGATGTCACCGGGGACGCAACTTCCAACTATTTTTGGCAGCGAAAGGCCGCTACCAATAAACAATTAACAAACTACCAGGCTTCTGGATTGATTTGCTAGGTACTACATGTCTCAACTATTTTTTACTTAGTGGTTAATTGGTAAAAATCGCACACAAATCATACGACGTCACTGACAACGCCGGGGACGGCAATTCGATTTTGGGATTAATTTTCCGAATAAAGTTATACTAAATAACTTCTAATGACAACCTATTGTCTTCAGTTGTCTTTGTTGGTCATTCAACTGTCGTTTTATCTATTTTTTCGGTGATATTTTCGTCGGAAGGTATCAAGAAGATAAACAAGTTTCATTAGACTAAATTCTTGCTTATGCCACTGCGGTGGGGTTCCAGGGCAGCCACGGATATTTGACGAATTATGGCGAATTTTTATTACTTATTTGATAGGCATCGAGCTACTATAATATGACTTCATGTAGGCTATTTTTTCTAATGTCGAAATCAGCTTCCAAAACCAAAACATTTTGAATAAAACAATTGAAACAAAGAGTTTGGAATGTAACCATCTAATTTCCTTTAAAATCCTCTTTCTTTAAGTGAAATTCTACAGTATGGAAATTTTGCACGAAATCTGTCAACCACGATGTCAAGGTCGAGGTTGCTTCCCCTATCGCGATGTATTCCAAGCATCATGAGGCTATCCAAACATTTGTCATAACAGAACGCAAAATATTTTAAATTAGTGAACTATTATTATTATTATTATTATTATTATTATTATCATTATTATTATTATTATTATTATTATTATTATTATTATTATTATTATTATTATTATTATTATTATTATTATTATTATTATTATTTATTATTATTATTATTATTATTAATATTATTATTATTATTATTATTAATTATTATTATTATTATTATTATTATTATTATTATTATTATTGGCGCCACCACTGGATTCAATAATCTGCTGTATACCTTGCTTTGCCATTTTCGATAGGTGAATAGGCCCTAGTTGTAACTTTAGAGCATTCTTTATATTCTCAATATTTATTACTTCGTAATTTTCATAACGAATTATTTATAAACCATGCTTTCTACGATGTAATTATTTAGATATAATGGCACTCGACTTCAAAGGTTATTTAGGCCTATATAAAATTTGGAAGTAAAAACCATTATTTAGATATAATGACCTTGACACGATAACACGTGTGCATTACATATAATGAGTTTGAAGTCCAAGCATTATGGTTTTGCGACAGCTATTATTTATATATAATTATTTATATAATTATAATGAAATGTAAAAGCAGTTATTTATAAATAATGAGTTTGAAGTCAATTCGTTATTTATATATAATGAAATCAGTGAACTTATTATATATAAATAATTGTAAGTTACTTTTCATTATTTATATTTAATGATTTGTTACCTTTTTATTATTTATATATAATAGAATCAGTGAACTTATTATATATAAATAATTGTAAGTTATTTTTCATTATTTATATATTATAATGATGTGTTTCCCCTTCCTTATTTATATATAATGAAGCCAGTAACCTTATTATATATAAATAATGTTGGGTTAGCCTTTCATTTATTTATATATAATGTAATCAGAAACAAATTATATATAAATAATGAAACGTTAAAGCAATTATTTACATATAATCTTTTAGACGTAAATGCACTATATATAAAATGGGTGATCTAGTCAAATATAAGTTAAATAATGAATTACATATAAATTATTGTGTTAAATAATAAATTTACACTTGGCGCCTCATACATTTGTACCCCCTTAGCTACCCGAAATGAAATAGTAAACTCCAAACAGGCGTAGCGCGGTTATGGAGATCGAATATAACCGAAGCCTGTTTTGGCATACTTTATATGCCTGAATATTCAAGAGCTAAAATTATAATTCTCGGCGCCACCATGAGCAAGGACCTGGCATAAGATGAGTACGAAAATAAAAACAAACTATCATTTAGAAGCGCATGCGTACTTGTGTTGAGGAGCTGAAATAATTTTAATTCTGACGTACGACGTAGAAGGGTGATGAACTTTTGATAGATGATTGCTAAAATTCTTTAAAAACATAGAAACAATATTTCGAAAATTTCAATATAAATACTAGTTATGTTTCGTTCGTCTGCACAAATTTCGTGATATTTGGTCGACTGAAAGGCAAGAAAATGGTAAGCTATTAACGAAAAGTAATCGGCGTTCACTTGGTTGGTGGTTTGTCGGTCATCACATGAGGAAGAGCATGGGTAGCTAGTAAAATGGGAGGAGCTGGCGAGCTGTTGCCTGAAGAGGTCTACTCTAGCCTTGAGCTCCTTTTCGACGAATGTGTGCTCTTCTCCGCCCACTCACTACCGTGTGGAGGTGGTGGCTGTATTTTCACGCCCTTTTTAGTAAAATATGGTTAATTCTAAATGAAATGTAATTCATTAGATTAGGCAAAACATAAATTAATTCACCACTTGCTTTTTATTTGATTACAGTGTTATTAATTACAGAAAAGATGTGTAGGCCTAGGCTCTAGTTTGGCCTAAGAAAATGCCTAGGCCTAGTCCTACCTACGATCATGTGTTTGTAAGAATCTATGATTGATAATTTGATGGGATGGACCAGGGAGTTGTTGGATGGACAATAAAGGTGACTTATGCATTTAGAATCCTGGCTTGATCAAGTGTTATGAGTGACGATAGGTGAAAGCTACCAAATTACTTTGAGAATTGGTAATGATAATGAATTGCTAAAGACTTACATCATCATATCAGGAAGTAATTGTTTCTTGGTTACTAGGCTTGTCCACATGTGTGAATTTGTTGCAAAATTGTCCAAGTTTTCTTTCATTTTTTCCCTTTCTGTCCCTTTTTGTGAGCACTTACCAAATTGCCACATATAGACAGCGGTCCCAAGTTGGAAGCAGGGGTGGCACCAATAGCGGGGATAGGCAAGCCCCCCTCGGGGAGATATTCCCCCCCCCCCCCATCGTGCCGAAAGAAATTGTATGTACTGTATTTTCTACATATAAATTAGTAGACCCTAAAATCAATTATACATACAGTATAAAGCATTTTAGGGGCTTCATCCCCTGGACCACTTTCGATATATTTTGAGAAACTCCCGACTACGGCAACATTTTTCCCGCTAGGAACATAGACCCCCTTTGCCTGCAGAAGTGCAAGATGCCATCCTGATTTCCTGGAGACTCCTGCAAGTACTTGGACCCCTGCATGGAGACTTTGTATTGTATAAATGCTTCTTATGTCGAAGTTTGGATTAGAATCATGACTTTCATTGGCGCTTTCAATATTGTATGTGCTTACAGGCATAAGCATAATCATAATGTAGTGGCTATGCTTTGCCTATCTACTGAGCATTCATACGTACTGAAAATTGGCGTATGCATTAATGTATAAATATATGTATTTTCGATGAGAGGTGGAGGTGTTTAAGCAAGCAGCTTTAACTGCCCCTGTAGGTTCAGGTAAATCTATAATTCATGAAAATTCTATTTAAATTTCCATTCATTTTGGCTGTTATTAGTTTCCTGAAGAAGTAACATTCCATTACATCTGTAGGCCTACATCAAAGCCTTTGTTCATATGGATCAGTCTAAAATCACTAGAGCTGATCAATTTCCAAAAAATTTTCGTACCACCAATCATTGGTTAGAAGAATGCAAATAATTTTGCAATAATTTCGAACGATTTTAGAGAAATAATAAGGCCTTCAGAAATTTTTGGAGGGGGTGCATCCACACCCTCTGTATCCCCCTCCCCCTCATCTACTCTATATCAGGCACATGGGGTTTAGCCAGAAAAACGAAATAGGCCATCCAAAATGGAAGCCAGTGGGCGTGGCCCTAAGCCAGTCAGCAGGCCACGCCCACTTGTGATCACGTCTCCTCCTAAACATAAGAAAAAATTAGAAAGATATGATCTTTAGAGGGTGTTTTTGTCTTCAAATGAATAGTGGCGAATTAGCTATCGCAAAGATATTTCGGTTATAGACATAGATTGCGCATGGCTATGGTTACTCGTACAATATCTATGCAGATGCATCTTCATCTCTCACCTTAGTCTAGTGTAAATTGTATTCTTGGTCCTCCGAATCGTGAGATAGTCCTACATCTACTGTATGTTTGTTGACTAATGAAATTTAACTTGTGATGTTAACAACAAATCTTCTTTACGGTATTTCATGAATTAATTATAACCAGAGAGTTACGAACACCAACAATATTATGTTGGAGAACCGAATCTCAAGTATTGTATTGCTTTGCAGAGCCACGCGCATGTGTTGTGGGCGACTCAGAACCGTCCATTTTTCAGCGGTGTATAAATGTTTTTAACACGATGCGTGTTGTAAGTGAACTTTTCACCTGGTGGGCAATAGTTAAGCCATTCCCATCGCTGCCTCTCCTTGTGTTTCAGCTAGAGAGCTGAAATACAAGTTACACCGTCTTTCGGATGAGACATTTAAGCCGTTAGTCCCGTGTGCATTTATGGCCCATGTGCAGTATACTCTTCGGAAAAGTACTGTCCAATCACCACCAGAAGGACCCCACTGGAAATAAGTCGTCTTCTAGACTTTCGTGGGCTATCCTTGGTGTTTACACCGAATAAATCCAATCCAATTCTAATTTGAGACTAAAGCTGCTAAAGACCAATGGAAAAACCTTGGTCCAAAAAGTAGTCTTTAATTGGAGAGAAACTTGTATTAAATTTTATGTTGAGGTTTATTATACAGTATCTCAAAAAAAGATAAAATATATACCATTAAAATAATGTTTTTGCTGCAGCTGTACAGACAATAGTACAATTTTTTTGTTGAATTCTCTCTCATTTCCTTGTACTACAGGATGCAGTAGCATTTTTCTTTCTATATAAATTTAAACAAATAACTTGCTATAAATTCTATAGAAATTCAGATACGCACTTTTTGATTATTAACTTCCTTTTTAAGTGGCATTGTCATGGTGGCCCATTAATCAATCAATCAGTTATCTGATGGAGTTTTGAAGCTACTTTAATAATAAGATAGCTTTAAAACTCCATCACACATCCTCCTTTTGCACAAGTTACAGAGTAAAACTATTGTTGAGAATGGTTTTTGACTGGCATTCCTTAAAGGCTGACATGTTGCATGATCACAAAAACCTATTGATCACAAACATTGCTAGAAAAAATTTAATTTTACTGAAGTAGAACATAATATAATGTGTTGAGAATGATGTGGCTTCCATTAGATTTGCAATCATTAATAAGGAGAGGGGGTGTTTATTCAAGAAAAAAATTAACGCCTCTGGGCGAAGACGTTTATTCCAATTAAGGTTATAGCGGGGGTATTTACATTATTTGAGGGGAGCTTTTATTCAAAGTAGGGTGTTTACTGTATTTTAGTAAATATAGTTTTGTTGAATATGTCTGGATTTTACTACAGGATGTATATTTATGCAACTGAAAATACACTTTTGTTTCAGAGGCACACAATAACTTGGTGCGTTCAATGTATAAAAGAGAGAAAGAAAATCATCTAAAAATAACTAATTGTGATAAAAAACAATTATACATGCAGTACTGTAGGGGTTTTAACAAAATCCACTAAAGTAAAATAAACATTAAATATAAATGCAAGTACAGTTTTACTGTAGTAGTAATGCTAATTATAAAATAAATGGATTATTACATTATTATAATACAGATAATTACATTTAAAAACCACATCTAAATTACATTTCTACTGTATAGAACTTAATATTTTAGAATTATTATGTACTGATCATGAGGTTTCATGATTTATTTTGCAATTTAAAGAATTAATAATTAGTTATTTTTCTTCCTCATACAGTAGGCCTAACAATGTTACAAATTACTAAATATTATCAAAACAATTGTATCTTGTTATTGCCTATAAGGATTTATATTGTTTTAAAGTATTCCACTAACTATTTTAATGTATTGTATATTTTATTATCTATATGAAACTAGTGTGTTTTATAAAATTTTAATGATGTTAAAATGTACTCGCTGCTATACATTTTTATGTTAGACGAATAAAAATGTATCTGAATGTCAGTATAACTTCATTCTTTGCTGTACTGTAATGATGTCTTTTTCTAGAATAATTATGCATTCATATTTGAAATATTTTGTTGGTGTGTTCTTACGCGCAGGCTTCAGATGCAGAGTCTTTACTTGCTCTCGAGGGGCTGATGAACGAATTCTTCGCGCCTACTACTACGAATCAAAGGAAACGAGAAATAGGTGCGTATGAAAAATGGCGGTTTTATTAATGGATTGTAATGCTAAGCCTCGCCCCCAACTATCAAAATTTATTTGACATAAACATGTGACATGCCTAAAGATGGTCATGATGACATCACATCATGACTATATATGGGCACATCATTACCATATATAGGCACATCATGACCATATATGGGCACATCATGACTATATATGAGCATATCATGACTATATATGGGCATTCAATTTTTTTTGTCAAAGAAAATTTGATAATCTGGACAGAGGTCTAGATTTTTTGAAAGTATTTAATAATAAAAATGTTCATAATTAATTAATAAACATTATATAGTTGAACTTTGCCTAAGTCAAATCCAAAATACCATTGAAATATTGTTTGACATTACATAAAATTTGACTTACAGATTGTTCGATATGGAAAAATCAACAATTTGGCATGTAAAATTAGATCGATTTAGAAATTATTCGACTTAGGCAAGTTTAATTGTAAATAAAAATGATACTTTAATAGTAAGATTATACAGTAGATTGTTTTGAGGATCATTATAAAACATAACTAATTCAATATATTAAAATATTGTAATATTTTAATGACTAACATTATTAAGCATATGCTCAGATAATTGTTTAATAAATGATGTTAAGGAGCATATAAAATGCATGTAATTAAATATTATTGATGTGTAAAATTTTAAAAAAGCACTTAACAAATTTTATTTGGTAAGCATAGAAGAATATGGACATCAGTCTGCTTATAAAAATTATTCTTGATATAATTAGGGAATTAGATTTATGATTTGTACAGTATTTATACAGTTAGTACATACTGTGAGAAATAAGTGAAATTACCATTTCATTATTGTTACCATTATAATATTACTATTATTTTCTTTAAATATCTTGTTCATCAGTATGCAATCAGTAGATACTTCTTTTTAAAAAAAATTTAAAAAATTGTGTGTTTGAGTGTGGTGAAATAATCACAGGAAACTCATTTCTAATTTACAGATCCCTTTAGATAAAATTATTTGCTTTCTGTTTTGAAGAAATACATTGAATTTAAGGTGATTGTGATTGGCTGTGATACAAATTTATTTTTTGCAAATGTTCTGTATTTTGCATTTAAAATAAATCATCTATAAGTATATGTATAGTGATCCTTAAAAAAAATAAGAATTTAATATGATTGCATTCATCAAACTTTGGCCAGTTGTTAAATATTTGTTCATTGATTTATTTGTCACCGCAGTTCTCAAGATGGTGGACTTGTGCATAAACCAGTTTGACTCTACTAGAATTGCAGGAAATATTAAAGATATTGTCTCTTGAAAATGACAAAAAATTATAAAAAAATGTTTTTGAAATTAACTTCAAGCTTTTTTTGCAGTATTAGAAAATTTGTACAGTGCACGCCTGATTTTTATACTGGATAATTATAATAAAAATAACAATAATACTTTTTAGTTACTGAAATTCTTTCTAACATTTTTAACTGTAAAATTATGGGTAAACATTTTTTAATTGCATTAATTTCTATGTTCAAGTTAATCATTTTTATGTTACTTCATATTGAGCAAGTTAATTTCCAAAAAGATTATTATGATTTTGTTGGTATTTTATATTGGACAATCACTCGTAGCTAACACGTAGTAAGCTCTTATAGAGATCCTTTCCCAAGCGGATTTCACAAGTTTTTAACTCGTAGAACCTGTGCGACTCTTGGAGGAAATCAATCTAGGTGGGAGAGGGACTTAAGATTAGGGACACTGGCATTCAACGTGTTGGAAACGTCCGATTTTCGGTTTGGATCCAATGCGAATGCAGCTTTACAACTTGTTTTTATGTAGTATTTTATTTTTTGGTGTGTACACCATCACAGTGATTTTTCACTGGTTTAAAAGTTGATCGTAATGAAAACCTGACAGTGTTTTAAGGCGACACTTTTCTTTACCTTGTTTTGCAGACTATTTATTCCTACAGTATTTTATATTAAATTTAAATAGGAAGAAATATCTTAATTTTAGAGATTTCAAGGTACAGGTAGTGGCAGGTGTAATATAAGTAAAGAAAAACTTTCATTTTTTCCAGAAATTTCATTTTTTTCATGGCAGCAATTCGCTAATTGGCCAAAAATAAAATTTAATTTTTATTCGAAATCATCAATATTGGCGAGCGACAGATTTGATAAACAAGGTATAAAAAAAGTCGCGCCTTATATCAGAAGTTTTTCTATCATTTTTAACTGTAAAAATGTGGGTAAACATTTTAAATTGCACTAATTCTATGTTCAAGGTGATAATTGTTATGTTACTTCATAGTAATGCTTATATCAGCTTGTTCTGCAATTATCATATGAATACAGTATATTAAATACATATACTGTAGGTTATTAATTGTATACTGTAGGCCTATTGATACTACTGGGAATGGTATTTTCATCGTATTATCATTAAGATTTGCTTTAAATTCAGGTTGATAGTACGAAGCTTTCGATTTTGCCACAACGTGACTCTAGAACGATTTGTTCACTTATTTTTCATCTGTCCCGCTTTTATTCCTTGCAACCTAGGTTGGGGCCAAACCACATCCTAAACTTCATACGGCAAGAACTCAACTTACCACAGGCACGAAGTGCTCTATGTGACTGTTCAATGTCTTACTGTCTTAGCACAATTGAAAACTCCATAATAAATTGCAACTTACAACATAGTTATTCCTATATATGTTTGTACTAACAAGGCCACCCAAAATATTTCATCATGACGTCAGTTAAGTAATAACTTGTTTTCTTCTCTAGAGGAACTATTAAACAACTTCAGTGCGCAAACTGGATCATGGCGTCATTGTTTTTACTTCCTAACGCATTCACAGAATGAGTATGTTATGATGTATGCACTTAGTGTGTTTGAGGTAAGTGTAATTGAAGTATACTACTAGTAGGCCTATAGGACAAAAATATATTTTAATTTTAGAAAATTCAACATATTGTAAATCATAAATTGAAAAAGGATTAAACAGGTATATGTATGTATGTACCACTATTTGGAAATTTGGCTTTAAAAAATGTATGGTTTAGATTATGTGTGAAAAATTGCAAAATTTTGAAACAAAATATTTTTGATTTTACATATTATGGTCCAATTTCTTAAAAATTAATAAAATGAAATATATGTTTAATAGAATAAAATAATAACAAGAGTAAAACAGATGATTGTGTCATCCTATGTGATGTCTGCATCCCCTTAAAAGGTGTTGGACATATTGTTTACTACTCTGACCTATTAATAGGTGTCCCAGTAGAGGACTTTGTACTACTGTGATAATTGATTCACCAATGTAATGCATCATAATATAATTTGATGATATGTTGGATTGTAACCAGAAATTGCCCACTTGCTGTGCAAGTGTTTTATCAATGGATGTATGTCAAGCGTTTATATTCAATTTTAGTTTTTACACCCACGGATGTTAAGAGCTTCCTTTCTAGCCTTTGTTCCATGTCTCTTAATATATTCACATATTGTAAACATTCTATTTTTATGGTTATATTATTGTTTTGTTGATGCTCTGCTATTATTATAATTATTATTATTATATTATTATTGATATTAATTTATTGTGTATTATTTAATAACTTAAGAAAATGCACAGTATCTTTGGAAAAAAAGAAAGTATACCAAGTTTGTAGTGAATGGTTACTGGAGTAGAAAAAAATATTATATTAATTTTAATTATATTATTTTTCCTCTAGTAATAATATTTGTTTCATGTTGTAATTGGAATTTTGTATCATATCCAAAATATTTTAACTTGTTTAGAACAATAAAATGTACTCAATGTTTACAAATTACAAGTTTGAGTATATCTTTGTGCTTTATATTTTCATATGGTATGTTTTTTAATTGTGTTCATAAGCAATTTAAAGGTTTGTTTTATCAATGAAGGACCTGAAGGGACATGCTTATACTTGTGGGTGTTGAATGTGAACATCATGTCTGTTCTTCAATTAATTTGCATATTGTTTGTCTCAGACTGTAATAAATCGACAATGGATTGGAATCGTAGGGGAGGACAAGATCCAGATACGCAATGGATTATCCAAGTTCCTGCTTTCGCATCACAAGGCCGTTCCAAGTTCCATACGTAACAAACTTATCAAAGTAATAGTGTGCATCGCTCGTCTTGATTGGCCCCATTTTTATCCAGATTTCTTTAGTAATATTTTACAGGTATGTACTTTTAGATAACAATGATCTTTGAATATTTAGCAATTATTATAGTTGTACACCATACACAAGATGGAGATTATTTCCAGAAGGCTAGATTAATGCATGAAAAAATGAAGGCATTTATCTAACCTGGAGTATGGTATTACAACTATGATAATTGTTCAATCACCTAATACCTCTTTAGTTAGCCTAGCTCTAGGCCTAAATTCATGTGGTTGCTTTAGCTATGCTTACAACCCTTATGTTCAGCCATTCTAAATGTGCCTCAAATACTCCTATTCCAAATTTTTCATTTTGTTTTGTTATTTTAGTTACTTTAAATTCCTTTTATCCCTTGAGTTGAGATTGAAACAAATTTTGCAAGTTTATTTAGAAATTGATTCTGCAATGCATGTCGTACAAATGAAGGCCATCAATTTGAAATGGGCTGTTTGGAAGTTTTCATAGGTGGCATTGCCAGAGGTACATACAAAAATGTAATAAAACAAGTTTGTTTGACATTATTGCACATAGTCAAACAAACAAAACAAACATTCAATATTAACAAAAATTATTCAACATTACAGGATAGGAAGATACAGTAATGTTGGAGGTAATTTTGATGATGTTACAATTGTCTAAGCCTTGTACAGATTGTCAAATTTTCTTTGACAAAAAACTGTTGTATGCCCATATATAGTCATGATGTGCCTATATATGGTCATGATGTGATGTCATTGTGACTATATTATGATGCCATCATGACCATATTAATGCATGTCAAGTTTTTGTCAAGTAAAATTTGATAGTCTGGACTGGAGTTTATAATACTTAATGTTAAAAAACTATGTTTGAATCGTGTTCTTTTAAAGCTGATTCAACAATCTCAGACGGCATCTCTAGGCCTCATGCTTCTGCACACAACATCGGAGGAACTGGCAGCTCCGAGGGAAGACCTAAGTGCCTCAAGGAAAGAAGAATTGAACAGACTCCTTCAGGATCAGATTCCCACCGTACTAAACATCATCACACGTAAGCATAAATACCAAATGTATTTACTGTTGCTTAAATTCTTAATCCTGCATGAAGGTGTCACTGAGCTTCTAATTTTTTCTTATTACAAAAAGAGAGTTGTAGTACAGTAGAAGTGGAAGTATAACTTTGTGTTTAAGATTATTAAGATTACCCACCCTTGGCCAAGTGGCTCTCCTAGAGAGTCGCTGCAGTTTCAGTTGTCCAAAAGGTAATACTCTAGATTTAGAAAATTTTTGTATTAAATGTAATCATTAAGTGATGATTTTTTAGTTGCTTTTTGAAACCAGTCTTTATCAATGATCATATTATTAAAAGATTTAATACCCATTGCATATTTTGTGGTTCCAAATTAAATTTATCATTTAAATTATATTTGTCTAACGATGCTTTTATGTTATCAATCCTTTTCCATCGTGTAAGTGGTCTAAACTCCAAGTGATTTACACTAGTCTAGGAAACCTATCTTCATCCATTTTTTTAAGCTTATCAAAATATTTTATTCTAAATTTATTTTGAATAGTTTTCATAGATTGCCACCCTAAGCCGCTAAGTAAAGCTTCATTGTCAACATTCCTTGGTGCTTTTAGAATCATCCATCTGATATTGCAGGTTTTCAAGTTAGCTAATTAACTGTTTACTAATACCTGGAACCCAAACAGGACATGGTTCATTGTAGGAAGTCAAATTGTTTTCCACAAATTGCCATAGTATATCCTGTTGAAGTCTTCTTGGCCATCAATGGTTGATCTGAAATAAGCATTTATTTTATTTCTTTTTTCCTCTTCAATATGATAATTATCATTGTTTTTTTTTTCTTGATAAGTGTACCTAAATATTTTGTATTTATCTATTTCACTTATAAAGTTATCACCTAATTTTCATTTGCTCTTTGGCCAACAATTAATACATGATATTTTTTTTAAAATTAAAATTAAGTTTCCAGAGTTTTGAGAAGTCTGCAGTTGCATCTAAATGTTGTTCAAGGTCATGTGCTTTTTCACCTATCAAAAGTACATCATCGGCCCAAAATAAATTCCAATTTGTGTTTTAAAAATATTTTCTAATTTTCTTTTCTTGATGGCTTTATTAAGTTCATATACTGTAGAACTAGAGGTGAGAGTGGGCATCCCTATTTATTTCCTTCATTAATTTTTTTAAAAACTAAGATTTAATATCGTTAAAAAATAACATTACATTTGACGTTCTAAATTTAATATTTAGAAGTTTCCAATTTATGCCTACATTTTAATAGCTTGTACGAGTCCTTGTCTCCACACGAAATCAAAAGCCATTAAGAAGGCAAAGTGGGTTTTTTCTTTCCCTTCAGCTTGCCTTGTAGCAAGAATAATTTTTAAACTAAATATAATATTATGGTCTTAGCACCTCCTTCTCATTTAGAATCCCCAGTGAACCTGTTAAAATGTTATATTCTTAAAGAAAAGAGGATATGTTTAAAGCAATAATTTTGTTGCACATTTTTGCCACGCATGATTTAAGGGTAATGCCCCTATAATTATGTCTATCTCCTTTTTTATAATGGAATAGGAGTTTGAAACATCCAATTTTACAGGCCTAGCTATTGTTCACTTTTGCATCCATAAAAAAAATGGTGCTAAGTCCAGTATAAAGGCTTCTTCAAGGCTCCTACTTTAAGTTATTAGAGCAACAAGGCACTTTTTCTAATAGTTTACATTAATCTCTAAGCACTGTATGACCCTGCCGTTGTCTACTTTTTATAATATAAAAGTGTGTAGAGATTTGTCCACAATATGTTTTATGTGATGATTATGATTTTTCCCACATACAGTATGAGTGAGGATTGACATCGTGTACATATATAGATGTATATGACATCATCATGCCGATAGTATGGATGTGATATGACAATCGCACTAATTTGTCACATAAATTTTGATAATGGAGAGGCCTTTAGAAATCATAAAAGCTCAGAGAATTATAATTGTTATATTAATTAATAGAAGCGAAGTGGAGTCTCGACTCTGGAACTCTCTTGCCATTAATGTACAGGAATCTCCATTCATCCCCCTATTTAAGGCCAAGCTAAAAACTCATTTGTTAAAAGCGCATAGAAACCTAGTATTATGCACTTTACAAGTCTACATCCATTGCATTACCATCAGTTATTATTTTTCCTATTCATTTTCAGACATATTAGAGAGCATTCTTGATAAACACAGACAGCTGGTGATAACGGCAACACCGCCCCCATCGCCAACTCATGGTGATGATGACAGCCAAGATGCGTTCACCAACAATATCGCGTATGGTACATCTCCATTACAGTCAGGTACAGTATTTGTGGATTTAGTATGATTTTTTTTGTGTGTGTAATTCTGAAATTCCTTTAAGTGAATAGTACAATAGATTTGTCTTTTGTGAAATGTTAGTTGTTTTGTTTTTGTGTGTGAAAAATGTTGTTTTTATATATGTGTAATTTGTTTTAGCTGTCCTCATTTGTGTTTCTATGGATATTTTTAAAATATTTAGCTCTAGCTATAAATAGCTCTTTTTAAAATAAATTTAACTTCAGTTATTGTGTCATTGTGTCTGTCTTTGCATCTGGCATTTCGTCTTTCTTACATCTGCCTCTGTATGTATCTGCATCTGGCTGTGCATATCATATTCAATATATTTGTTTTCATTATGATTTTGTTTCTATTACTATTTCAGGGAGCTCATTAATAAGGAATATATTTAACTCGCCTCAGACGAGCAAACAGAACTTGCAACCTCTGCCGCCTCTTGATCAGGACAGTGAACACCTGAGCAACCTCGCTCTTCATTGTCTTGCACACCTCTTCAGCTGGATCCCTCTGTCGTGCCACATCACCACGCGACTCCTAACAACTATCTTTCATTTTGCCAACTTTGGTTGTGATATTGAGTCGGTGCAGAGTGGCACGTCGCCGTACCATCTGAACGATAGCTTTAGCTCGAGCGGCAGCTCGTCGCTGGGCGTCCTTGCAATGTGCTGTATTAACGAGATTATGTCTAAGAACTGCATTCCCGCGGACTTTGAGGAATTTCTTCTGAAGATGTTCCAGCAGTCTTTTCATCTGTTACAACGAATGACCAAAGACAATACGGCACAGTCAGTAGGCAACAAAATACAAGAATTAGATGAAAGGTAAAATATTTTATTCATAAAGGGGATGAAAATGTGCACAATTTTTCTTTCTGTTCAGTCCATCAAATACAAGTAAAAGATAATTCATGGGGTTAATACACAATATTATAAATAACTGTGAACATAAAGTTATACAAAGCATATAAAAATATATATAATACAAATTACAATGTTATCTAATAATAATAATAATAATATAATGATCATTGTGTCTTAAAGTATACCCTGTTATTTTTTTTGTTGAATAAATATGTTTTATGTGTTTATTGTTGAGGAGGATTTTGAAGGAGGGTTATTTGAGGGAAGAATTTTATTTTTTAAAGAAGCATTTATTTCAACATAGGAGCTGTTTATTATTTTTTTGATGTGAAAATAAATTCACATCTACAGATCCCAGATTCAAATGATGGCTCCAGAAATTTGCTGAAAAGGGGGTCCGACAGATTTGATAAAGGTGTCCAACCTAAGAAGCCAACTTTAGCCTCTGTCAGGGTCCAGAATAAAGTCCTCGCAGGGTTCATGTGGAGGATTTTATGGCTTACTATGGCCCGGAATTGTGTTTTAAGATCGCAATATTAAGGATTGGCAATTGAAATAATGGTATTTATTTTTATTAGCAACGCTGCTTTCCAGATTAACAAAAAAGGGGTGGCGCTGTAACGCCACATGATGTCTGCAGAGGACATTAATATAAAAATATTTTCAATTTTACGATTATTCTCTCTTTCTAGTTATGTAGAGAAATTCACTGAATTCCTGCGACTGTTTGTTAGCATACATTTAAGAAGGTTTGAAGGCAATTCTCATTTTCCAATTCTAGAGTTTTTATCATTACTCTACAAATACACATTCAAACAGGTATGGAATTGTTTTTGTTGAATGCGATATTTTCTTCCACATGTCATTATTGTTATATTTGTCATTGTTATTATTAATTTATTATTATGATCATAATTATCATAATAATTAATTTGATTTGTATAAATGTAGTTTTAGTATTTGCTTACATTGGATTTTTAAATATACTCCAAATCTAAAATTAATGTAAAATTTGTCCTATTCGTTTACATTGAATTTTTTTTATTAATATACTCCTTTTAACTGTGAATTACCTTTTTATTTTTTCTACTGTAAAAAATGTGTAATTATAATTCTGAATTTAAATGCACTTGTATATTGTATTTTTTTACAATTTAAATGTTTGTGCGAGTTTTTGATATTCTATTATATATCCAAATATTGAAGTACTGAACAGTATTTACAGCTTTACACTTGGCTAAAATCAATATTTAGAGTAAACATGATGAGCATGCCAATATCTAAAAAATATAAACTTGATCTTTTTAGGCTAGTAATGAAGGTTTCTTTGCATGCCTGGACATATGGAACGTATTTTTAGATTATCTAATTACCAGGAGTCGAGCGAGGGAGCCAGAGGCAAATCAAGTTGTCAACAGGTATTTCACAAAAATATGATTTATAGTGTTTAGGCACACAATTAGAATATAAGAATTAAGAGAAGAATATTAAGAATTTAGAAAAGTGAGCTGGTAATGAAACCAAGAGGGGTAGAGATAGTAGTCGGTATGTGAAGGAGTATTGAATGGAGTCACAAAGAAAGACAGAAGAATACTGGGGTACAAGATTAAGATGTCTGAAAAGTATGTTCAGAAAAAGAAAATGAGTGGGTGTATGGAGAAAAAGCCAGAAAACAGATGGAAACAAACATTAACACTATAATTGTGTCTGAGGGAGATGTATAACCCAGGAGTATAAATGTGAACCTGGTGGGGTATAAATGGGAACCTGGTGGGGTTACTTGCTCCTGCGCCGATTACCAGCAGCAACACTTAGCATGTGGGCCCAATGACCAGGGAAAAAATTTCAGCGCTTAGTAACTGAAAAGAAAGGCATTATACAAGTAACAAGTAACAAAGAGAAGATCGTGTTGTGGTGAGAGCTGGAGTGGTGGATAGGTAGGTAAACATATAGACACTGTAGATGTAGGTACAATGGCAAGATAGTTATAAATATTACTAAGTATTTTCTTTTCTGTCAACACGGTGTCTTCAAGAATAGGAGTTTTGGACATTTAGAGGTCTAGTTTTTTTGCATACTTTCTCATTAGATGTTATTTTACTCTATTTCAAAAGGAAAAAAATTTGTAACGGTTGAATTTTGAGAAATTGCCCTTCAAACTTGGTGAATTTTCTACCTTTTTTTACATCCTAGGCCTAGCTTTAGGTCTAGGATACGGTTTTCTGTTATCCGTCCTAGGCTTAGAATGCATGAGTGCGGGTGTGTGTTCTACCACAAATCCTATACAATAGGATTTGTGGTACTACTATGGTGGTTCATTTTCTTTCTACGTGTGGGTTCTGGTGTAGAGTTAAAAGGTATAATAATTTAAATTTTTAATTTAAAATCAGAAAAACTTGTATTTTATTATCTTCACAAAAAAAAATGATAATGGCAATATGATACATGTGATCAAAAACATACATTACAACACAAAACTGAATAAAACCACCCATGAGTCATCTTGTTAGTCATGCTTTTTATTTACAAAAATTAAATATACAGTGATGGATGGCTTTTAAGAAACTACCGGTATATGATTAGTTATATGCCACACACCATTGATTCACAGGATTTGGTTTGTCATTGCTTTTTGTCAAGCAAACTATGATCCCTCAAAAAGTATACAATTATGAATTGGCAAATGCTCAAACTTCTACAAAGAATATAACATACAGATAAAAGAAACGTGTTGCATAAGGATACCAGAAGGCAACGCATGTATTACCCAGCTAGTCAATTCTGTTATAGTTGGAATTTATCATCAGAATGTTGAGCAATTTTGTAGCAAATAAACCGGAAAAAAAAACAACATTCATTGTATGCTGTGCCTCTTGGATTGCATGTTGGTTTGGGTATGTTGAGTGAATAGTGTGGTGAAAAGATCCATGTCGCATTCAGCAAACAAATTTGAAAGGACTAACTGCCATCAGAACTATGCCAATAGAATTCATCTTTATAAATCAGTATAATTCACATCTCTAAAAATACAGAGAAAGGCATTTCCACCTGCAAAGAAAAATAGTTAGTACATTTTAAATTTTATCATTTAAAAATTACTTAGCATACTATCTATGAATTAGTATGAAATAACCAATTTATATATACTTTAAATGAAATGCTAGAATTGCATTTAATATTTATCAGGAAATAACTGCAGAAGCAAAATACTGTGGTGGAGTATTCAACATCATTAAATAATATTGTAGATAAATAGTGTATTACATTTTAATAAAAAAAAAATACAACTGTATTGAAACAATACTGTAATTAAAATACAGTCTGTACTGTATGAGTTGATTTAAAAATATTTAAGAATATGAATTTTTAATAGAATTCAATTGACTTAAAAGGAAAACTAAGGTTACCCCTGGATAAACTATACTTGCATGAATAAGGAAAATTGTGATTTTTTTTTTCAATGAAAAACCCACTAAAACTTTATGTAAATAAAAATAAGCTGATTTATGGCATTAGATTAATATAAAATAACTAATTGCACTGATATTCTATTGAATAAGACTCAATTCTTTCTATATACAGGTAGTAATTGAATAAGCACCCCCTTATAAACATACAGATTATTGTAACAATAACAAGCTTGATTAAAATACTGTAGGCATAAGCCTACTAAAAACTACTTGCCTTATAACATAAATTTGCTTTATGTGTACCTGCCTGGGTATTGGTGGTGGCCAAATTTCTGGTGGTAGCATAAACCTAAAATATTGTAGATAAAATTGTAAAATGTTAATAAAATAATACAACTGTATTGAAACAATACTGTAATTAATATTATGGCCAGGATTGTATGAGTTGAATTGAAAATATTTAAGAATATGAATTTTGAATAGAATTCAATTGACTTAAAAAAAAAACAAAGGCTACCACTGGATAAACTATACTTGCATGAATAAGGAAAATAGTTTGATTAATTTTTCAATTAAAAAAATACTAAAACTTTATGTAAAAAAAAAATCAGTTGACTGATGACATTATATTAATATACAATAATTAATTGCACTGATTTTATATAAAATAAGATTCAATTCAGTCAAAATACTGGCACTGAATAAGCACTTCCTTAAAAAAAAAAAAATAAAAAAACAGAATATTGTAAACAGTAACAAGCATGATTAAAATACTGTAGGCCGAAGCCTACTAAAAACTGTACTTGCCTTTAAAATTTGCTTATGTGTACCTGCCTGGGAATTGGTGGTGGCCATGGACGTCTGCTGGTAGCAAAAAAAAAAAAAAAAAAAAAAACCTAAAAATATTAAAAATTAAAAATCAAATTAGGTGTGTTTGTTAGCCTACATTAAAAACTCTAATTAATAGGCCTAGGGTTAAACAGGCAAAGATTTAATAAATGTCTGTTCGTTGTATGCACATCCATATGCTAGGCCCAAAACTGACCCGACAATGCCCACGCAACGTCCTCAACGATCAATTCCTGGGCGTGTAGTATAGCGCTAGGCCCCCTTCAATGCGCAACACCAGCTGCACTATCGCCAGAAAAGAGGGGTACATTAACCTTCATAGAAAAAAAACCAACCGTTACAAAAAATTTTTTATTTGCTAACTTTTTCTTTAGTAATTAAGTGTTGCATAAATATAAAGTATGTTTGAACAAATGATGGATAACATTATCTACCATTTTAGCCAAAAAACCCGAAATTTGGACTAAAAAAACATGAAAGTTACATGCTTACCTTCGCCGGCTTTCACAGCGAATTCTATGACGTATATTATAAACGATAGGTTTCAGGCTTCTCGCACATGACCAAATTTGGGGTAGGTCAGGAATATTTAGTGATATCTTCCAGTTTTCAGTATTACTGGATGATTAAAAACATTGAATATTCAAAGCGGGTGACGTGTTTGGAAGTGAGTTTTAAATATAGCGCGCCTTCTATAGTTTTTTTGTGCCTCAATATCGGACTTTTTGTCCACTATGAAGATACCGTGTCAAGATAATAAAAATTATTTTTGATTTACCAACAGCTACAGTGAAGCATTAGAATCTTTAATGGAAGCTCTTTTGTTCAAGATGCAGTTCCGATGTAACCAGGTACAACTGGAGGAGCTTGATGACGAGGTTGTAGATGATGATGTAAGTTAAATATGTTAATAAGCTAATGATGTCACTCATATTGATTGGTCTTTTAGAATGTCCCACTTACTTGGAGTGCTCTGTTAGAAGGTTGGGGCCACAAATAATGGGTGTTTTGTCTGAACAGACCCACAAATTTCAAATATGACTGGGGTTTTTTTAATGATTACCCTCTTTTTGTTATGATCCTTAACTTTTTTTTTTTAAAGCAAAGTCATACCACTGTACCTTAGCTTCAACTTTTATATGACGGAATGTATTTACTGTTTAATTGATTCTCTATTGATGTGAATGATTCTCTTTATAGGCTGAAACAGAGTGGCAGCATTTTTTATGTAACTGTTTAGAAGTTGTTGCCAAGACGGCAGAGCTACTACCAAGGTCGGCATTTCAATTCTTGGTAAGAATGATAAATTGTTGATGTAATATAAATAAAAAACATTTTTCCATCTAGTTTTTAAATATTTAAAAAATATCACTCTATGTGTCTTTAAAAAAAATCAGTTGTACATGATGTCAAAACTTGTTTTTTTCTTCTGGAGGTTTTAAAGACAGATGTTTTTCTTGTATTTAGTTTCAGATATTTCAAGAGAACTTAGATGTATATCTTGGATTAGGTGTCTTTATTATTGAATCATCTGAAGGTAAACAATACATTTAACTGTTAAAAAAAGCACTTATCTATGTTTTTGTCTCCACACAGAAGAATAAACGTGTACCTGATAGGATGTAGTGGTGTTGAATGTAATAATAATAATAATAATAATAATTGTTGACTTATTTAGTGCATATTGTACACTAACCTCTATGCCCTTTACATTATTACCCTGGTCACTGGATCAAGCACATGGAACACAACACTCGTGCCCCATAATTTTGTGTTTGAACCTACCAGGTACCCACTTGTACTCCTGGGTGGAGAGAGACAACCGTAGATAAAGTGCCTTGCCCAAGGACACAAGCGACTTGCACAGCAAGAGTTTCGAACCCCCGACCTCAAGGTTGGAATCCATGCCACAACCGATGTGCCAACCACTTCTAATGTGCTGGACAATGTATTGTAACTGCACTGCACTCCAGTTTAAGTCTTACAAACAACATACAACTTATTTTTTCTGCATCACACATTCATGAGATTAACAAACTAAAATATTGTACAATATTTTTGTTTGTTACCAACAGGCCAGAAATTAAACATTACAGCTGAGAACGAGGTGCGGCGCTTGCATTGTAGTTTGCGAGATTTATCCTCTATGCTACAAGCATTAGGAAGAATGTCGGAGCATTTTACTGCAGAAAAATTTCATCCAAGGTTTGACAATGCACTGCAGTTAGTCCAGAAGTGAGTATTTGCATTTATACATAATAAACTCAAATCGATACATAATAAATTATTTTCACCACAATGCATTTTGATAAAAAAAATTAATATTGTGTTTGGATAGTATTTTTTTTTTTATCTGTTGAAGTTTGTGTAACAACATTGGACATGATCTTTTCTTTAATTTAATTGTATAGTCTGATACTTCCTTGTATATTATGTTGTGATTTTTGTTTTCATACTGTTGCTACATGTACGAGGAGAGTGTATTTCATCTTGATTTCGCTAATCAAGAAGGAAATCTTTTTTTTTTTTTTCTCTCTCTCTCTCAATAACATTGATTTTGTAATGGTCATAAGAAAACATACATATGAAAAATTATTATATAATTTCTTAAAACCAAAAAATCAAATTATAACAGACTTGCAAGTGAAAAATGCGAAATTAGGCCATCACAGGGATCAAAACTAGAAGTAGTACTTGTCTCATATTGACCCCTAAAGTAAGAAAAAAAAAAAAAGAAATATTTATAAAATAAATAAATAAATGGAGAAAAATAATTTGTGTTAGCGTAAATCAGTCAAAAGACCTGTACTTAGATAAATATATTGTTTTCATATGACTTTTGAATGCTTTCAGGGATGTACAATTTATGTCTTTATCTAGGTTATTCCATATGGTGGGACCTGAAAATGTAATAAAAAATTGACTCTTTGTAAGTTTAACAAAAGGGACTTGTAATATATTTGGATTTCTAATACTGTAAGAATGAGATATTACACGGTTTGCGGAAATCTCTTGAAAGATGAATAGTTACGTTATATTGTTTTGCGTGTAGGCATGCTGAGTGTCTTGCGGCATTGCAGGCCTTCAATCAGTGGTTTGCTCAGTTCTACCTTGAAAGTAAGCGCCAGGCAGGAGACCAATACCAGCACCAGTTTACACCCATCATCACTAAGACAATCGAATCAATTGTACCACTATTCAACAAACAGGTGAGATAAAAGGATAGTTCTTTTTTGATGCGTCTTACCGTTTGCCTTATTTTTTTTTGTTTCTTTATCCTCCTATTTCTTTTCACTTTTTCTCCTTTCATTCTCTCCTTTCTCCTCACTAACTCCTCTTTTTTACTCATCTTCCCTATTCTGCTTTGCTTCTTTCTTTTACTACCTAACCTTATCCTTTTTCCTTTTAACTTTATCTTTTTCATTCACCTTTCCTTTTTTTCCATTATCTCCTTCAGTTTTTGTGATCCTACTTTTATTCCTATGTGTTCAATTTAATGAAATGTTATAACTTATTTGTTATTTACTTACAGACACCAGAGAAGGTGCTTTTGTCAGCATCGCATCTCTTTCTTTCAATATCAACCAGTGTCCGTCCACCGTTCCTTGTTGAGTTACCATTGGTACAGAAACTGTTCACAGAAGTTAGCCAGGGCTCACTAAATGGCATGCCAATAGAGGTACCAGCCTATTATTACTTTTATTTATTTTCACTATTACTTATATATTTTTTTTTTTAATTAATTCTGAAGATTTATCTATTTTCTATTTTTAAACTATAGCAGTCACATCATGGGGTGCATACCTCTGCCCTGTGCCTGAATAACAATACACAGGCTGTGTGTGATGGGCGATCCCATTATTTTTTTTCTCATCCTCAAGGGTAAAAAATTGAATTTCCTTGAGCTTGTTCTTTGACTTTTTCCTTTCACAATATAATCATCTCTTTTATTATTATGTACCATTCCACTAAATTTATGGTGATTAGTTCCTTAGTTTTTGTGTAATATTTGCACAGACAGACAGACAGACTAACAGAAAGGCAGCGGTAAATACATAACCTCCTTTGGTGGTGGTAAAAATATACAATCATTTAGCTTTGCGAAATTTGGTGACTTTCTGATCTCAGACCTTATGACCTACAGTTTGATATCAATATTTAACCTTATGACCTTATTTTAAAATCATTTTCCTATAGCTATCACAATTGTCTGCTTCCCTTGCTAGGTGGAACTTCTCATTGTCCGCGCCTTATCTAACATCCTGGTGTTAGCCTGGCCAAATGTGACGGAGAACTCGCAGAACTGGGGGTCACGCTCTGCAAACCACTCCGGTTTTATGAAGAGGATTACATTAGAATATTGCCAGATTAAAGATATTCCAAACTTTGCCAAAGACAAAATGCTCCAGAACAGAGGTAATATTCAACAAATTTGTTATATGGTACAACAATATAAGGTTTGCCATCCCAAAACCAGCATAATCTCGCTAAATGTTAGACTGAGTAAATTAGCAAAAGATGTGCCAGTATCGTATAATCTGGTACAGAGAAGCCATAATACTTTTACTCTTAACTTTGACAATAGTGGGTTGATTGCACTAAATTACCTATCATTTTAAAGTTTATATTGTGCATAAAATGAATATATAAATAAAGTCAATTTTCTTGTTTTTGTCACTGATGGTGGTTGGGACGCCAAGTCCCTTATTCTTATTTATATATTTGATTGTTTCCCTCTTCTAATCAGTTTATATATTATAAATCTACTTTTTAATAATTCCAATTTATTTTAACTATTCTCATTTAATTTGTTTCTGTCATTTCCTGATTAATGTTTATCCAATTACTTTTAGCTTACTTTTGTGAGAATTAATTGAGGCAAAATTTAGTTTAAACTAGGTTGCACGGCAAAAGGTGTAGAATGGTAACAGCTGTAACATAGCAATCATCGTCTCATGGCAACAACTATGTCATAGCAACAGCTGTAATATGATAGTAATAGTTTGTGCTATTTACTTAGCACATATATTCCACTGAATGCTTCTATTCAGCAGGTGTAAAAGTAATACATATAGTCATTTGTCAACAGCTGTATCATCACAATGATTGTAACATAGTACCCAGTATCACATAATGTAGGAGCGGTTGGCGCACTGGTTGTGGCTTGGACTCTGGCTGTGCAAATCGCTTGTGTCTTAGGGCAAGGCACTTTATCAACGGTTGCCTCTCTCCACCCAGGAGTACAAGTGGGTACCTAGTAGGTTCCAACACAACCTGCGCTGATTACAAGCTGCAATTTATGGAATGATAATATAATTTCATTTACTAATTTAATTTGGTGTTTCAATGTGTTCCATATGTGTTTGATCCAATGACCGGGGTAGTAATGTGAAGAACGACATATTATTATTATAATGTGCGATTCATTTCACAGCAAAACCGTGCATGAAGAGGACGCTACATTTGCTAGCAAACCATGTGGATGCTGTGTCGGGTGAAGTGTCAAAAACAAAGCAGATTGTCTTCCAGTCACTCAAGGAATGCATAGAGGTTACACTAGCACTTTTCCCAATTTACATTAACCAAGCAGGTATGGAAGTATGTTTTGAAGCTATATAATGTATGGATAATATGAAAAAAAAGAAAATGGTGTGTATAGTATGAGTGCATAGGAATGAACTTATCCACTAAGCCACACCCCTTAGATATTGTTGCTAAGGTCCCACAAATCTGATTGGTCAGTAAAGTTTGACTGCCAATTGCCAATTTCTGTGGTTCCCATCATACTAAAACTAAGCATACTCTAATGTTTTACACAAGTAAACTTCGTTATTAAATGTCTTATTGCATGGTAAATATATCACCAAGACAGTTATGTATTCACCACTGTCTGTCTATCTGTTTTAGTATTAAAATCTATAGAATTTAGTGGAATGTTACATAATAATCTAAAAAAGAGGTGATTACATTTTTGGAAGGAAAAGGTGTTAAAGAAAATAATGAAATTCAATGTTGTCATTTAGTTTATCTTCCTAACTATAAATTAAAATGAAATATACCATTTTTTAATGTCATTTAATTTCTTGCTTCAGATGTGGTTGATGAAATGATGAGTTTCTATTTGGCAATAATCCAGGGACTCCGGGTCCAGATGGGTGTGGCTAGTATCCAGGCAACAATAACAGTTTTCATGAACTTATTCACTAGGTAAACCGATTTGGTATTAATTATATTCAAGTACATATATTGAAATAAGCCGTGGTACCTGCCATGATAGTTGTTACACTGTACTTTTAGGAAGCTTTTGGTACTAAATACTTTCCGAGCCACTGGGGCTTATAGGGCTGGAGCTTATCCCCAGCTTCTGTAGTATGAAGCGGGTAAGAGTTGTACTCCCCCCTGGACGGAACACTAGTCCGTTTCAGGTTAGTCCCCAGCAGTTTGCTGGTACCCATTGATCAGCTGGGTGGACTGAAGCAATTTAGCTAAAGTGCCTTGCCTGAGGACACAAGCAAATCTGCACAGCGGAGACTCGATACCCCGGACCTTACGATTGAATGCCCAAACCTCAACCAAACCAAACTGCCGCTGTACAATTTTAAGAAACTTTTGTTTTTCAGTTTTCAGATCAGACACTATATCCCTAGTTTTTTTTCGCTACAGGAGATTTTAGATTTGAATAATTATGCATTAAATACTGAAATACTCAAAAAAAAATAGAGAGCTGAGTAGTCATCCCAATCAATCAGTCAATCAATCAACGTTTATTTCAGACATACATATTCATATATCAAATATAAAGATAAATTTAAACATTTTGTATACAAATGGCCAAAATAATAAGGCAAAGTGTTTAGAGGCTGCTATGAAAGACCTAACATATTGCATTTGTGTTTTCTGTCAAATTTTAATTCTTATTCATTGTGTTTTTTTAAGGGAGCAATTGACAGCCATTATCATGAATGAAGGAAGCTCAGGTGTACGAGTTGTAGAGAAGTATGCCCTCATTTATTCTTATAGAGAGCTTTTGATTGTGCACACTGTAGAATCTAGAATGTAATAACATTGAGTAAAGCAATCTGCGCATGCAAGAAAGTTGAATTCTTTTTTGGCTGAATTCTAGGGCACAGTTTAACTCGAATTGTCATTAAGATTGCAAGGACGGTCATGGATGAGTAAATTGTACTAGGTTTACGTTTTTGCGCAAAGTGAAAGCTCCCTGGTAGAATAGGGTATTTTAAGGTCATTTTATCCCAACTTTACTTGTTCTCAAGCCATACAAATTTTGCAGATTATATTAATAATTTTACAGCATATGTCCAAAACTGAGGTAAAAATAAAAGGTGTGTGCATATTAAAAGTGAAATTCTTACCAGTCAATCAAATTTTCTTTGACAAAAAAATAATTTGTAGCCTATATGTTTGTGATTTGATGTCATCATTACCGTATTTAGGTATGTTGTGTGGGTAAACCCTTATCATTGTTTTCCAAATATCTTTTTAATTCCACATTTCTTTTTTTGGTAAAGGTTTTTACAAATACTGGAGTTAATTTTGCAAGAGCCAGGCTCAGCATTCAAAGGGTTCCTGCCAACCATTATTAGCATATGTATGCAACAAATTTACCCAATAATTGCAGAGGTGAGATTTACATTTTGGGTTAAAATGCTTGGGTGATAGTAATGGCGGGAGAAATGATAGTAGTGGGGAGATAGCAATGGTGGGTGGGAGTGACGGTGGGGATGGCAGTGCTTGTATGACGGCTGTTGGATGACAGCAGTGAGAATGATAATGATAGAAATGACAATGATTGAGGTGGTGTTAGTAGAGATGACAAACAACCAATGATTGACATGGTGGTGGTAAACTTTATTTATGATGACATGTGTGAAGATGATATTGATGGAGATAATGGTGAAGATGACTGTGTTTGTTTGTTTGTTTGTTTGTTTTGGAAATCACTCCAGCTGCTGTACATAAAGACAAATTTCAGAGTCAGTCATTTTTCAATTTTAAATCACTTGTTTCATTACAGAGGCAGTCACCAGACATTAAATTGGTACTTTTTAAACTGCTCTTTGAACTTCTACAAAACAAGTGGCGGTATTTCTTCCCTTCGTCTATTCTTTCCAAGATGCAATCTGACACAGAAGCCGTGGACCACACGGATGAGTTCATTGTTATGATGCAGGTATGCCGGTGTCTACTACAGTAAATGACACTTTTTAGAAATACACAATGATTACAGTGTTCTTTCACCCCTCCTCTTAATAGACTGATCCAAGAATTTGTGGTAGTTGTTTTTTTTTTTGGATATTCCACACTAATTCTGTGTACATACACAGTGCATCTTGAATACTGTAAAACCTAGAAAAGCCATCAATATTTACTAAATACACTTTTAACACATACACAATAATTACAGTGTTCTTTCACTCCTCTTTGTAGTGAATCTAGCCAAGAATTATATATTTTGTTTTGTTTTTATGGATATTCCACACCAAATTTGTCTATATTCACCATTAAATGCATCATGAATACTGTCAAACTTTTGTTTGAAATCTAGCACACCCATGCTCTAATAGCAACTCACCTTAGAATGTCTTTATGGCTACTCAGTATTATTCGAATGGGGTTACCATTTGATTGCCATGTTTTAGTGAAAGGGGAACTTCAACATATTCACCGATTTGGATAACAATGCTGAGCGTATGCTACTGGTGAGCTGATGATGACCGAAATTGACTAGTGTTGTTATTTAAATATGATAAACCTAAAATATTTATGTAAAGAGGTCTACTTTATATAATTTATTTTGAGTTTATAAATAATCAACAACAAAATAAACTTGTTCAGTTATTTCCATGAACTACAAACACAGGAAGCATGGGAGGGTAAATATTTTTTACTTCTTAAAGTATGCTTAATAGCAGTGACCCAAAACTGTATTAGTACCTCTTCTTACCATACCTTTTACATCAGTCTTTCGGCCAGTCTTTCTTGCAACCTGACATTGCAGTCTTCCGACAAAACCTAGAATCCTTAGAGAAGCTGAACGAGAAACTGAAATTGTACCATAAGGTAAGAAAATCTTTCCTTTTACAGATTTTAATTTTTTTTTTTTTATCAACAACAAGATTTCAGTATGAAATTAAATATGGGATGCTTTTTCAACTAATTTTCAGTACACTTAGTAGGTCACGTTTCAGCCTTAGCCCTACGACTAAAGATAATAGATATAGATTTTCTTCCATGCATAATTCCATTCACCTGTACAATGCAATAAAACTGATTCTGGCCTGCTGTTACTCAATATTCTACAACTCAAGTAGTAACTTTTTACTACTTTTTATACATTTCAACATACCAAATAATGTTTTCTATACATTATCAATACAATAGTGATTAATATTTTGCTTCTGTTTTTTTACATTTGAAATGTTTTTTACACATTAATCTGAAAAGTGCCATACAACTATTTACTGTATTAGTTCAGTGTTAAAGTAACTGAACTAAAAAATTAACTTTAATGTACAATTTTATAAGAAAGTATAATACATACTCCAAGTATTGAAATACACGCCATCGTATTTCAATACTTGGAGTATGTATTATACTTTCTTATCTGAGATTAATCAGTGGACCTTTCGGTACAATTTTATATCTTTTACTTAAATGTTTGTACTGTATCCTGTAGTGATTTTTTTTTGTATGGTTTGCCAACAATGAAGTAATTTCTGGTACTGTATTTTTGCTTTTACAAGACCAATAAACATTCAGTATTCCATATCTGTAATTGTCAAATTTACTGAATTTAATTTTAGATATGACGGAAGTTAATAATATTGAAATACAGTTAATTAAACTTACGTAAGTCGACTTGGCCTAAATCAAATAATTTTGCAAGTCATTCTTATTTTACATGCCAAATTGTTGTGTTTTCCATTAATAACGATCTGTAAGTCAAATTTTATCCAAGTCGAACATTTTTTCCATGCCATTTCGGATTTAACTTTAAGCAAATTCGACTGTACATATTTAATTTGACCAACCTCATTCTATCCTTCAGAAAATTTTCCGTGAGATGATGCTTGTGCCTTTTCTGAACGTTCTTCTTCAAGTGTTGCTGCACAAGTCACATGATCTGCTACAGGAGGAGATTGTGCAAACCATTTATAATATGGCTGCCGTAGACTTTGATAACTTCTATGTTACATTCCTGTGTCAGTTTTTAGAGGGTGCAGAGGGCATTGACCCTAATCAAAGGTCGGTTCTTGAAAGGAACTTCAAGAAGGATAGGGTGAGTGCACAGAGTTGTGTTTCAAGAGGTTATGCCTAGAGGTCATATTTTCTATTAATTTTGAAAGTAAGGTCTAAAACATTAGGTATTCATTTTCCAATAACTATTTCCTCATTTATTTTAGGAAAATATATTTGGTATTTTTTACACTAAAAAAGGATATTTTTTTCTACATTAGATAAACAAAATATGAATATTTTATTTTCTATTTTGTATTTAATGGAGACTTGGAAAAAATGTTATCTAAATGTTATATATCCATATGCAAGATTTGATCTACATACCTTGTAGTACATAATATGACTTTATTGTGTAATTTACATACCATGTACTTACTCTTATAATGTCATAGCTCTTATGCTGCTTCCCAAATACAAAAACATCTTTATTAAAGGGATCAACAGAATCTAACAAAGTGTCTTCATAATAGGTGTATCCTGATTTGAAATTGACTGTAGTGTTAAAAGATGCTTTCCTTCATTTCGTCGCTCACATCACAAACTAACACAATCAAAGTAGATTGTGTTAGTTCGTGAAATCAAGAAAGTGCGTCAAAATACGTGCTGTTGTTGTTAAGGACTTTTTGTGTGGTAAAGAATACAAAATTGCTTGACAAACCAATACGCACTCGTTTTGACGCGCTACTGTGATTTCGCGAACTAACACAATCTATTGATTGTGTTAGTTCGTGATATGAGCGACGATTTGAATGCTGAAGATGTGTCCCCTTTATAGGGGTTACTTAAGGGAGGGCTTTTACTCTAGTTTCACACTCTAAAGATTGTGGTCAGTCATCTCTCTAGTGACTGCTCTAATTATTATTATTATTGTTATTATTATTATTATTTATTGTTATTTGTATGTACTATTTGACGCCCTCTTTAGGTCAGCTTTGCTGTAAGATCTCCCCCTTGAAATATTGTTGAATAAATAATTATATATATTTATTTTCCCTCAATCCATACTGCTGTTTTTGCACCAGGGTTCTCATAAAATATATCATTATTTTTTTACATTAGGATTATCCAACATTCACGCAAAACCTACAGAGGTTTGTCAACGATCTACGCTATTACAGACTCTGTAATAGCGCCCTCCCTGCTGGCTCAGTCAAGCTTTGATGACGAGTGTATTCCAAAACATACGGATTGTCTATGCAAAGAATGTATTGAGGAGGCCGAGGATGTTGTAGAAACAAAAAGGAGCGTTATGTAGTCAGTTGGAGCATTTTCCTTATTATTCCTGACGTAACGAATTGGATTCATGCCTTGAAGTTGAAAGTGCGCTTACAGCGATGACGACGAGAACTCGAAACCATTCCTAAGATGTGTCGAATACATTCGTGTGTATGGTTACAGTTTAATGGCTGTTGAAAAGAGAATCAATTTTATCACTTAACATATCTTCAGATGTTTTTCAAAGAATATTTTCAGATGTTCATTCCATCGTAAATCACGTACAATGTTTTCAATTGAGAAGCGATATTTTATTTTGTCAAATTATTCAGCAACACCAAAACATAACAAGTATTTTTTTCTGAATACATAACCACATGACCAAATAATTGTTAAAAGTTTTTTTGTTATCTCCTTGACATTTTTTTAGTTAAATTCCAAACAGATAGGCAGATTTCAGAGTTGTGTACTACAAGACTGTACAATATTTTTAAAAGAAGCAAAATCTGACAAATAGATTAGCCACAATGAACTTTTTAATTGTGTTTGTGTGTGTGCTGCCTCATTTGTTTTTTTTTTGGATGCGCATCTGCCTATAGATGGCAGTGTTTGGTACAGTATTACAAAAGTTGTTTTGGGACTTGATAAAATAGCTGACCCACCTGAATCGTTTCCAGTCAGTTGGAAAAAATTAGCAAAACAGTGGCATTATATTGACATGACCTTATTTAAGCACATCATGACTATATATGGGCATACAACAGTTTTTTTGTCGAAGAAAATTTGATAGTGGACAGAGCTTTAGTTATTGCTAGTTTAAAAGTTGAAAGCCTGATTATGCAAAACCGAAGCTGTTTAATGAATCAGTATTGAAATGTCTGGGTTATGTTATCCAATGTGTATTTGCCTACAGGTGGCAGTGTTGAGTTTACATTTTTTATCATCACTACCATCTATAGCCAAATATTGTTATATAATATAAGCTGTGTTGAAAACCAGCAAAAGCTCGAGAATAAAAACGCAAGTTTACGTACTTATTCAATTACTATATGATGTTATACCATAAAGCCTTGAATGGAAGCCCAGTGAGCTTAATCTCGAAAAGTAGCCCAACTTGAATTGAAGCCCGCCTCTTCAGTTTGCATAAGTAGCCTCGAAATGAAGCCTGTCTCGAAAAGAAGCCCATGGGCTTCTTCTCAAGATAGCATGGGTTACTTTTTGAGATAGTACAATACATACACTGTACATGAATTTCAAAGAAACAAAAATATATTAAAAACGTTCTTGGTTTACACAATAAGTTAGGTGATTTAATCCCTGTTAATACACTCTATGATACTGACTGATGTTACAGTGACCCTATTTATTGTTTTATAGTAGTAATTCCCAAAATTTACAGCATTAATTTTGAAAGGACGCCCCCTGTTACTTTGCAAAACTAGCAAAAAAAAAAGGAAGTCCATCTCGAATAGAAGCCCATCTTGAAAGGAATCCCATCCAAAGATTGCAAAAAAAAGAAGCCCTGGCCTCTTATTCAAGGTTTTACGGTATTTTGTTTGGCTATAATTAATACTTTTTTTAAGGTAAGGTTGGAGCCTCCACGACCATTGCCTTGCGAAGGTAGTGCAAATTGGTATCTGTTGCACTTGGAATATTTTGTTTTCTTATGACCTTAAGAGTATGCATAGGTTTCTCTAGGAGAGAGCATTTTCTATACCTTGTGTCGCTTAGAATAAAAACTAACCACTATATTAAACTACCATATAGGTAGAAATTGAGATTAAACAGAATTATTTCTATATCTAGTTCATTAAAAATGTGTCTATTTTGACCAAGATCAATTACAACTAAAACTAATCTTCAAATATGACTTATAATTTATAAATATTCAGTATTATTTTCTTGATAGTAATTATACTAATATTTAACTAATGAAGTGTATAGACCTCTATGCACTGGGTAAGAAAATAACTGTTAAATAAAACAAACCAAGAAACTAATCTTAATCTAGGCTTAAAAACTAAGCTTGATTTTTATTCTAAACATGGTTGGCTTGGCACTAATGTGGCCATTTGTTCCTTTAAGATTCCCCCTTTTCTCTATATGTGTTTATTTTTTTCTTATCAGTTCAGATCGCAGTCTATAACAATGTATTATAGAAAGATAAATAATTTATTTTTTGATTCTTTCACCAGACACAAATCTCAGATGAATTTTCCCCACCTAAAGAACTTTAATACTTTTTTAATTTAAATATTGTTGAGCGTATTTGTGTAAAGCGTAGATTACATAATGAGAATATAGATTTCATATTTATTTTTTATAAGACCAGTCTGTATGGATTTAATTATATTTATTGTATTTCTGTCTGTCGCTGGTACAATTACTTTCTTTTCAGTTTGCATAATGGACCTTTCTGGCGTGTCAATCAAACATTACAACTGACCAATCAGAACAGTGCCAGAAATACGCACGTGTTTTTACACTGTCGTTTTGTGGGACCTTAGCAACAATATCCAAGGGGCGGGGCTTAAGCTCTATGCTATGCCTATATATGGTCATGCTGTGATGTCATCATGCCCATATATGGGCATATCACACTTTTTTGTCACATAAAATTTGATAGTGTAGACAGAGCTTTAGTGAAAATGTTAATTAAAATCGTCCTTGTTGATCATTGTAGCTAGTTGTATAATTTCAGGTGATGATATAAAGAGGTAAACATAATCATCATAATCCATATTTATTTTATGAATATCATGGTTAACTGAATACAAATCATTTATATAAAACGATTTATTTCTAACTTGGTTTGTTCTTCAAAGCCCTGTTTCCATGTTGTGTGTGAGCACACAAAAAAATTGTGAATTTCTTCCTCTGTGCTTCCTGTCCCTTCGTCCCTAATTACTTGGCAAACAACTTAATCATATTCATTAAAACATACGGTAATAAGAAGTGTATTCCATCGTTATGTATACATTTTGGCTTGAGTTGTTCATCTTATTACACCAGCCTTTTTTCGTGTATTTATTGTTATTAAATGTGTTATGTGTTGAGATAGGGGACAGAATATGTACATATTTGCAACCACTTACTTATGCAATAAAAAAAATGATTTATCTCATCTATATTATGATACTGTGGTTTTGTTTTGGTATACTTATGGTTTGCATGAGGAATTACAATTGTTAATCATACACCTGCAGTACACAAACTGGCATTTGAATTCTCAATTGATAGATCATGCTTTTGAGAAGAACCATTTGGGTTGTGAGTCCCAATGTCCGAAACTAGTTCACTCTCGATGTCTTCATGGAAGGTTGTATGGATGAGCTTGTGTGCAAGAATTGGGCATACAGTGTCAGGTAGCTAGAAAATTTATTGGCTGGTGTTGGTGTGGTTTACTGAAACCAGTTGTATTCATGACAGGCCCATTGCCATTACTTTCTAGACAGTAAAGAGTAATTGATCACTACCCAAATATTTGCTTTTAAAATTTTAGTCCGATAAATCGAATAAACTATTGCATAAAGTGCATTGCCTTCAGGGGCGGATCCAGAAATGTCCAAAAGGGGGGGGGGGCCGAAAGTTGGGCCGATTGAGACAACACTGTCGTAGGGGGGCCGGGGCATGCCCCGCGAAGTTTTTGTGTTCTAGACGCCCGGACATAACATTTGAGGCATTCTTGGCCCTCATTTTTTTCTTTTTCTCTCTCTCTTTTTTTTTTTTTTTTTTTTTTTTTTTTTTACCTTTCCAAAGGTGGAGCTTTATGTGTGCTCAACTGTGGAAATCCTTTGGCACCCGGTTCTATTCCATCCGTATTCATATTTTTCAGCTGGGTGGCTTAAATGCAAGTATGCACACTGTCTTTCGGGAGAGACGTTTAAAGTCAATCTCCAGAGAAATTTTGTGCAAAGTTGATGAAAACACGCGGGAACAGTTAATGAGATACAAATTTTTGGCCGGGCCGGCCCCCCCCCCTAAATCCGCCCCTGGCCTTCAAACAAGTCCCTTATTGGCTGTTGGTATGGTTTACTGAATCCGACTTTATGCATGACAGGCACATTGTCAAGATAATGATTTGACGTGTATTCTAGAAATTCCAAATTTCTGGTAAGCACTTAAAATTGGAAATTCTTAAAAAGATTGTTGAAGAATGCTCGGTGGTCTAGTGGTTAAGACATCAGGCTAGATACCTGGAGGTCGTAGGTTGGATTCCCACCCGAATCACTTGCGAAATTTTTCTCTAGTATTTGGGGACGTACCGTACTGAGTATTCAATAAGATTACACCTCAGGTAGGGCAAAACATCACTCCTTTGATAATTTCCTGACGCAAACTCATTTCCTATAAATATTTAGCAGAGAACAATACAAACAATTCCAATTTACAAAAAAAAAAAAAATATTAAAATAGTACGCAACAGAAAATCACCAGAAACAAACCATTTTACAATTTTCATCGGTTGCATGATGCATTAATGGACCTTTCCAGATTGATGTATGTATTAGGACAATGTCCCAAGAAAAGATTAAGTACGTTTACCCTTGTTTTGTGAGAAATTGCAACAATAACCGCGAGGCGTCGGTGCTTAGCGGAATTATCCATTATTAATACCAGGGAGGGTATTGTTATACAAAAATTGTTAATATCTATGTGTCAAATTGGAAGAATATTTTTTATGAATTGAAAAATGGGCTGTTCCATTCTATAAGGCGGAGCCAAGTTGAATAGAATAGTCGAAAAAATATTCTTTCCATTTTAATGGGCTTTATATACGGTATACATTGACTTTGCTGCCCTATTTTATTAGGAAATAAATATACTGTATTTACTCTTTTCATCCAAATATTTATACAATTTACAATTGTAGTATACTTGCTACAGAAGCGGTATCCAGTAAATAATGATAATAATATACTTGTTAAAACTTCCTCATTTAACCTAGTCTTTAATGGTCAGCAGGCCTCAAAGGATTGCCTTCAAAATAGCAGCTATTTAACCCAGGAACTGTAGAATATATTTTTTTTCGAGTCGGGTTTCTGTTGGCTGATGTGAATATGGTCTACTGAATCAAATGTCATGCAAATTACCAAATCATTGGATCCTGGAAATTCCAAATTATCAATAAGACACATTGTTTATTTGGACAGAAGTTAATGAGGTTTAATTTTACCAACAGTAAAGTATTTTTATATAACTATTTTTTTTTATTGGAGCACATTATGCATTAGTATGGCCTAACAGTAAGAATAAATAATGTTTTTAATTTCTTTGTATAAATAAGATTCAACTTTTAAGTTCAAGATTAAAATGAGAAAATATTTGCTTGCCTATTTTACCAGACACATATAATAATAATGTTCCCATTTTTATTGTGTGGTAACCAAAGGATTTTTTGAGGTAAAAGGTTAGTCAATAAAACCGTAATTGTTTCCTACCACGTCACAATGGAAGTTGATAATTTATTTTACCATTTTAAGATAACAATTCAACGTTTTAATTTAATTTGTCAGATTTTTCTCATCTTCATTTTAAACAGTAAGGAAAATAGATTGTTCTACTGCAAACTGAGTTTACTACTTTTGGCCCACCTACTGCTTGAGATGACAATGATACTAATACTGTTACATATGCCTATAACTCTATCATTATGATGACTGTTAACAATGATTTTCCTGCTTTTCGAACTTATTTACCCCTAAATCTGAACAAAATAGAGTAAAATAGTTAATCAAATATTTCTTAATTTCCTTCTTCAGAGAAATTCTTAACTTGTCGAGTCGTAACTGATTTTATTTATTAATGTAAAACCAGGTATTTTGTTCAATGGTTAATCCGATAAATATAGAAACACCAATTCAATAAATATCAAATGTGCTTTTTCTTTTGGTCGTAAGAAACAGAAATGGTCAGTCTAGACGATAGCTGGCTCCTTAAAGATGCTCTTTGAGAACATCTAAATTTTAAAAAACCTAAAGATCCAGGACCCCTGTTCCTAAACTACCATCGGTGGTACACATCTTAACTGACATTGTCAGTCAATTTGCATGACTTCAAGCTCCCCGACTGTACTCCTAAACCAGGGCCACTCACAACCTATTTACGCCACTGGCTGTAGATAGGTATTGTCCTTCTAATTATCTAGCACCTGTTCAATTATATTATTTTAAATCTACAGATTCATTGTTTTACACCAAGTTTGAGAAATGAATGGTGCAATATGAACCCCAAAGGCCGACAGATAATAAACAAATGTTGATTTTTTTTAAGTACGCTTTCATTGTTTTCTATAGACTGGTACGGATTTATTGAATCAGATTGAATGTACGATAGTACACATTGTCTTTTGTCCAATGATACACGTGTAGATTCCAAATTTCTGAAAATGTCAAATGCAATAGACATCACATAAAAAAGCAATACAATAACAGATTGTTAGTGCGGTTTAATCACAGCATCACAATATAATAATGATGTTCAGATCAATAAGTTCAAGGCAAGGTTATATACCGGATCACGTAATTAAACGTATATGTACTAATAATTAAAACATAAGCCTACATTGAAATATTTATTGATTTGCATTCTATTTGCCGCCTGCTAAATATTTGTTTCACTTCAGGATTATATACGTCATTATGGGAGTGAAGTTTCTTAAAAAGTTCATCAAAGCGAAGAAAATAGGCTTACGCCACAATTATGAATTCTCTGATTCAACACTAATTGTTGATGGAACAAACGTACTGATTCGAATTTACTACGAGGAGAAACTAGACACTGAATGTGGGGATGACTACACTGTGTACACAGTTTTTAATAGATTTATAAGTGCGCTTAAAAAATCCAAAGTAGATGCGATATTTGTCTTTGATGGTGATCATAAGGATAAAGAGAAGTTTCCCGTCATCAAAAGGCGTCGAGAGTATATTTTGAAAAAGAATATTGAAGAAGGAAACTACGAACATGACAATAAATTTCCCAACCACATTATGATTAAGGTACTTCATGATAGAGACATTCCCATGGTTTGGTGTGATTTTGAATCTGACCCGGAAATCGCAATGATAGCAAATCATTACACATGCCCAGTGCTTTCAAGTGACAATGGTTTTTATATTATGGATCTTCAAAGTGGATTCATTGATTTTCAAGTGGAAAACCGCAACAAATTTAATAACAATGTACAATTTACAAACGTGATGATTTTTTTTGAAAATTTGAAAATTGCAAAAGACTGTATTCCCTTGGTTCCAGCACTTGCTGAAAATGACTCAATTATAGAAAATATATATCCATATCCACAGCTGAAAAAACAATCAGAAGCAGAAGCAGAACAAAAACTAAAAAAAATCATGGGTTTGTTTAATCTTACATCAATTATGTCCTGCATAAATTTAATGGACGTAAAAGAGAAAAACTAAAGAGACAAATAACATCTTCAATCGCAATCTATGTATTACCCGAGAGTTCACCAGCTCTTGCATACCTTCGTAACCCAGATGCAGTCATAGAGTGACTTGTTTCCT